TCATTCATATTTTCTTGGTCCATCTATCCAAATTGTTCCTATAATTAATTGTTTGCTTCTTGTGACTTCTTTGTAATTTCCATATTTTAGCTAATCAGATTTTTAAATAGACCAGGCATTGATTTGTTCCCATGATTCTTTACCATTCTTCTTCACTTCAGTACCCCATCATTCTGTATCTTTTGATTGCCTTTCTTAGATCTTGTTTACTTCTAATTAGGTTGATATTAACAATTGAAGCAATTATCTTGAATACAGTGTCAATCTTTTACTTTCCACAGGCAATAGCATTGACTGATGATATAAATGTATCTGGCATCCAAAGCTGCTATCCTAATTTGGCATTCCTACTCAATTTCAATTACACAAGTTTTGACACTATCTATTAATTTATGATCTTAGAACAACAATGTTGCAGTCATGGATGATTTGGACAATATAAAATATAGAAATATTTTGGAATGATTATCTATTTCTAATTCAGTGTTTTTATTGTGTAGCTTCTGAGGAGGTCTTAAGTGATATATTTAATTAACTGCAGTGCTATCTTATTCTAAAGATTCTGATCTTGCATTGTGCTTCTTTAATATCAGAGCCTTTTATGTTTAGTGGTATTACATTGAATTAAATTTATTCAATGGGCATTAGTTTTCATATTAAATAAACTCATCATTTTCTGTTTTTAAGTGTTCTTTGATCTTCAATGATTAGGTATTTTGAAAACTAACATTATTTTATTAGAAAATGTGGATGCTTAAAGGATGCATTCTTTTCTTGTAAACAAACTTGCATAGTAAAAAATTTAGACTTCACTCACTAAATGGTTAAATGAATATCCATAAAATTTTTTTAAAAATAATTTTAATTAAAAACATGGAATTTTCTCAAACTGGGAGTTTTTTATTCTTGCTTCACTTTTCATTATTCTATTCTGGCTTGGTCTAAATATATTTCCAACACAACACATTTCAGAGCCATTAACTCTCCCCAGAGACCTATAACATTTATATATGTTGTCCAACTGTTTCAATTTGCGCCTAGAAAAACTTAGTTGTGATAATATTGGATGAACTGGCCAAGATACTACCATCAGGTGGTGAAAGAATCCAATTTAAAACCTAAATCTCCTTCCTCTACTCACATATTTGTCTTTTTGCTTTTATCAAACATTAAGCATTCATATCATCTACTTCTAACTGTAAGAAAGTGTTCTGTGTGTTAGAAAAAAAATAAGTGGAATACGAAGTACTGATATTGTCTTAATAATGGAGGAATTATGTTTCTAAAAAAATATTCAAAATTCTTACTGTATCATTTCAGCTAAGCTCTTTCTCCCAAAGAGAAAGCAAAAATAGCACAATAGAAACATATAGATGGGTTAGTAGAGGCCTATGTGGCCATAGGAATATCATTTGCTAATGGACTTAGATCAGGATGCTTGATTCAATACTCCTTGGTAAGGGAATAGAATTAAGCTTGTCTAGCTTAGAACAGTGATATTTAGCAAAAGCAGAACAACTGAGGGGAGGAGGCATTTTGAAATTTGAAGGAGCTTTAAAAAAGCTAATGATTAGAGAGAGTTAAAGATATTTATGGGAGAAAGTGAAAGATGCTAGAGAGATAGACAGGATAGTTCCACATGAAGAAGAATTTTTTAGTGTTCTACATGAAGAAAAATTTCCTAATGTTCAACAAGACAGTCAAATATCCTGCCAGACATTCATCTAGAAAGTCATATGCAATTGAAATTGATACTGGTCCATTATCACGAATCCTAACAATGGTTTTGCTTTGAGTTCCATTTAAATGTCTGCTTTCCGTTATTTCGGTACTTCTTTTATGGAGTGACTTCTGATTTCCTGACATCTCTTAAATGTGAACTTATTTATTATAAAGAAATTTGAGATTTTAGTTACTTGAGTATGTTTCTAGTGTAGTTGTGATTGAGCATTTACATATTGAAACCCATAATGTCATAATAATATCATATTATTGTAATTTATCCTTTGTATTACAATTAAAGTACTATGTTATTTTTTCCTCAATAAGTAAGTAGATGATTCTCATTTTAGGGTAACAAAGAGGGCATTACAAAGGGTGGCACTGAGACTGTTACAGATGAGATCTACTATCTTATATCAATTAATTCCAATCACTGGGCACATGACTGCCACATAACAGAGTCAGCATGGGGTGACCATGTATCCTTGTGATTACTTCATGGGGTTTAATAAAGAGCAGTATATCATAGAAATATTGTTTTACAAAAGTTAAGATATTTAAATAGATGATTTTCTTGTTCATGATCAGTATGGAGTCCTAGATACAGTCTAAAATGGCACTTATTTTGTATAATATTTTAAAGCTATATACAATAGTTAAGAATTGAAGAATATGTGGTTTCACTTTCTAAATGCTAGCCTAATGCAGTGCATTTTAAATTATCCCTCAGTGTATGTTATAGCATATTAAAGTTATATTCAAACTTTGTTTTCTTTGGGGATTCAAATATTTTTCTAAAAAATAGAGTATGCTAATGGATGTGTATTTGAATGTATCTCTCTTACTATGTACCTATGTAGCTGTTTAGTCATAGGTATCTATTTAAAGTCAGAAAAACTACACATACATCTGCAAACACATGTGTGCATACAAGAGGATTTTATCATGCCAGAACTGACATTCTTTTGAACTTCAGAGGATATGATTTAGATGAGA